AAAAAAAAAAAAAAAAAAAGAAAAATATTCATATATCTGACAAAGAACTTCTATCCAGAATATATAAAGAATTCCTATAATCCATTAACAAAAAGACAAGTTTATTTTTAAAATGAACAAAAGGCGCTTGTAATCCCAGCTACTTGGGAAGCTGAGGTGGGAAGACTGCTTAAGCCCAGGAGGTTGCGGCTGCCATAAGCCATGATTATGCCACTGCATTCCAGCGTAGGTGACAGAGTGAGACCCTGCCTCAAAAATAAATAAATAAGGAGAGACTTCAATAGACACTACACAAATGAAGACAAGACTATGAAAAGATGCTCCTCATCTTTAGTCATCAGGCAATGTGATTAAAGCCACAATGAGCTACTACCAGACACACAAGAGAATGGTTAAAATTAAAAAGACTAACAATACCACATGCTGGGGTTTGGAAATGACTGGCAATTCTTATTAAGTTAAGCATACATCTACTCTTACTATCCAGCAATTCTACTTCTAGGTATCTCCCCAAGAGTCGTAACATATTTACCCAAGAAAAATAACATAGTTCCAAAAAAAGATTTGCATAAGAATGGTCTAGCAGTTTTATTCCTTTTTTTTTTTTTTTTTGAGATGGAGTCTCGCTCTGTCGCCAGGCTGGAGTGCAATGGCGCGATCTCAGTTCACTGCAACCGCCATCCTCATGGGTTCAAGTGATTCTCTTGCCTCAGCCTCCCGAGTAGCTGGGACTATAGGTACACGCCACTACACCCAGATAATTTTTGTATTTTTAGTAGAGGCAGGGTTTCACCATGTTGGCCAGGATGGTCTCGATCTCTTGACCTTGTGATCCACCCACCTCGGCCTCCCACAGTGCTGGGATTATAGGCGTGTGCCACCGCGCCCAGTCAGCAGTTTTATTTCTAATAGCCCAAAGCTGGAAACAAAGTTTGATATATTCATACAACTGAGTATCACTGGAAAATGAAAAGGAAACTAGTGGTATCTGCAATAACATGGATGAACCTAAACTGTTATGCTGAGCATAAGGAGCCAGACACACAATCTATGAGTCTATCTGTATGAAATATGAGAACAAGCAAAATTAATCCATGATGCCAAAATTCAAATGGTGGCTGCCCAGGAGGGGACGAGGAGAAATATGGGGATTGGCTGAGAAGGGGTACTGGGGAAATTTCCTTTTTTCCTTTTTTCTCAACTTTTAAGTTCAGGGGTACAGGTGCAAGATGAACAGGTTTGTTACATAGGGAAATGTGTGTCATGGTGGTTTACTGCACAGATCGTCCCATCATCCAGGTATTAAGCCCAGCATCCATTCGCTATTGTTCCTGATGCTCTCGGGGGAATTTCTTTGGTGACAAAATTGTTCTACTTCTTTATAAGGGCAGTGGTTATATGCTTGTATGTATTTGTCAAAATGCATTAAATGTTATACTTAAGATATGTGCTTTTCAAAAAATTAATGAAAACTTCCATTCAGCAGCAATAATCTGCCCACTTTATTTTTCCATTGTTGCCTACAATAATGCAATTAGTCAAACTCTATTCCAGTGAAAGCAGTACAGTCATATTTTTCTAGCTTTGTTCTGTCCTCTTACCTTGTTAACTTCTGGTGTGAGGATCTCTATTTTCCTTAAACGCTGAAAAGCATCATAATCAGTTTCTCCAAATAGTCTGATTGGTTCTCCTCTTTCTCTCAATCTTCTGATTACCTACAAAGTGAAACAGACACCCAGTAAATTATTTAACTTTTTTTTTTTTTTTTTTTGAGACAGTCTCACTTTACCGCCCAGACTGGAGTGCAGTGGCGCAATCTTGGCTCACTGCAACTTCCACCTCTCGGGTTCAAGCAGTTCTCCTGCCTCAGCCTCCCGAGTAGCTGGGACTACAGGTGCACGCCAGCACACCCAGCTTATTTTTGTATTTTTAGTAGAAACGGGGTTTCACCATGTTGGCCAGGATGGTCTCAATCTCCTGCCCTTGTGACCCACCTGCCTCGGGCTCCCAAACTGCTGGGATTACAGGCGTGCGCTACTGTATCCAGCTATTTAACTTTTGAGAGAGGAAAAAACTAAACATCTCAAAAACAATTTGTATATTATACCTTAAAAGCCAAGCCTGGTGTTTAACAAAGCTAATTATCCAAATACATGCTTCTGTGTAAAGTATAAATTCCTTCAAATATTTTAAATCATTTCAATTAAGCTAAACAAAGATGTTTCCAAATCAAACAGAAAATCAAGTACTTTAGTTAAAAATCTATTTTGACTCAAAAGTCACTGTTATTAATTTTATTACCAAATAGCTCCTAGAAAGCGGTCTGACATCTGACTTTACAATTCAAGTCTAAAGAAAGCCCTTCATATAAACTACCTCTTCCACTGCGAGATTAAAACAAAATTCTTTTTTGTAAGAAAAGGGGCATGTATGTAGCCCTCATTTTACATCATTATAACTGTTCTTAGTCTTCTTTTAAAAACAATGGAAAGACAATAGTAATCCCTATGCCAGCATATTCTTGGTGATCAAACACTTGTTTTGAAATGTAGATGCAAAAAGTAAGCTGTTTATTCTTTAATTTTCCATGAACAGATACACTGTATTATCATCACACCTTAAGTAACCATGAAGTTTAAGTCGTTTAGCTCAGTGCTTCGATAGGACCAATCTGTGCAGCAGGACACATAGGAAAAACACTAAGATAGGAGGGAATGACAGCATTTATAGAGGAAGGAAAATCAAATCTGAAGCCAGGTGATAACTACCATAATGGAGAGTCCGCATTGTAATACCACCATCAAACCAAAAACTTCTCCCTCAGAAAAGAGGGAGTTATAATCTGCATATGCGGGAGCTTTTAAGATGCTGAAAACCTATTTCCAAACTTGGGTGATGGTTATATGAATATTTATTTTGTAATTATTCATAATGATTCATACATGTGTAACGTATGTTGCCCTAATACGTTTCATACACTTTATATACATGCTATATGTCATTTTAAAAAGGAAGAAAGAAACAGAAAATGTAATAAAGATTAGTCCAAATTTTTTGTAAAAAGCAGTAATAAGAAACACCAAGAGCTTTACCTGGGAGCATAAACAGCATCACACCCAAAATCCATTGGGAGGGCTCTCACTGGATTAACAGAAGTTTGATATTAAAACAAATTTAACAGGTCATCTAGCACTATCTCCAATCAATGCAGAAATGACCTCACAAACATCCTTGTCAGGTCCCTGTCTGACAAACAACAGGAATCACATTTCTTTGTGAAACATCCCATCCCATTGTTTGGACAGATATGTTTTGCTTCTCAAAACTGATACCTACTTCCCTCAAACTTCTACCCATTTATCCCAGTTCCACTTTATGAAACTACAGAGAATATTCCGATTTTCCAAAATCAGAGCTACTTTCATTGGATTTCTAAGGATATCTCTAGTAATTCTTCTCTCCAGCCTCAGCATTCTCAATTCCTTCACCTCATCTTCACATGATGGTTTCTAGAGTCAGTCAGTCATTCCCCTGAAAGTTTCCTCTTGTGCAATGTCTGTCATAAGCATGTGGTAATGTAGAACTAAAAAATAATACTGCAAACATGTCAACCTGTGAGAAGGACAGAATACATAAGCCTTTGATCTAGACACTATATTTCTATGACTTACATTCAGCCCTATCCACAACTACAGAGGTAGAACAGGAAGAGACTACTGAGGACTCAAAGATGAAAGATGACCCTAAGTCAGTCAAAGACAAAAAGAACCTAAACAGAAAAAAAGAAAGGGAATGTGAGCTAGTTATTACTGCAAAACACTGCTTAAGATTGGGTGCTATACCTTAGGCCACGTTGTGAGGAGTGCATAATATTTTTCTGGTTATCAGTTTAAATAGCTAACTCTCATCTATCTGGAATTATATAACAGTGGTTCTGTCTAAAGGCAAGGTAATAAACTACCTGACTTCAAAGTTTCTTTTGGTGCAAGAATTCTATTATTCGAATTTTTTAAATAAAGAAGCTGAAATACACCACCACCACCACCACCACCCCACAAAAATGACACAGAGACTAAAGGGACATCACCGAAAGAACTTAAGCCTCTGAGTCCTCTTTTACTATTTCAATACATGCTCCCTGAGCAGAGGCAGGAACTTCTTCCCCACATCATGTCTAGTACTTAACTGATGTACCACTATTAATCAGTAACAATGGTTTAATAATGATGGATCTCACAAAAAGAACAACTTCTTAAAACTACTTCATCTTTTAACTCAAGCTTTTCAATGTTTAAAGATAAAGTAAATTCTACGCCAGGTGCGGTGGCCCTTGCCGGTAATCCCAGCACTTTCGGAGGTGGAGGTGAGCAGATCACCTGAGTCAGGAGTTCAAGACCAGCCCAGCCAACATGGCAAAACCTCGTCTCTACTAAAAATACAAAAATTAGCCAGGCCTGGTGGTGCATACCAGTAGTCCCAGCTACTCGGGAGGCTTAGGCTTGAGAATCTCTTGAACCCAGGAGGTGGAGGTTGCAGTGAGCCTAGATCATGCCAGTGCACTCCAGCCTGGGAGACACAGCGAAACTTTGTCTCGAAAAATCAAAAAGTAACAGAATTCTAAAAAATATAAGTGACATGAAATTTCAAGTATTTTTCTGACTATGAAGTTAATACATGCTCACTTGAGATACAAAAATAAAATATAAAGAAAATTATATTTTTTATATATAAAGAATGAGTTCATAAAGGTAGTGGGAAAAAAATTAACATATCTTTTTTTAACTCTTAGGAATAGAGGAAACCTTTCTAAGCATGATGCCCAAGACAAAAAAAAAAAAAAAATAACGAAAAAGACTGATGTCACAGCATAAAAATGTAAAACTTCTGCATGGCAAAAAACAAATGATACACTGATAAATATATATATATATGCTATGTACATCTGATACATACACACTTATGAACACAGGTTAACACCCTTAACATATAAACATGTTGATCTGCAAATCAATAAAGACAAATTTCACAATATAAAAACAGCAATTCCACAAATGAAGAGACATTAATGACCACTAAACACATGACAACATGTTCAATTCTAATCATCACTAACAGAAAGTTTCAAGTTAACATAAGGTACCTATTTCACCCATCAGTTTGGCAAAAATTTAAAGTAATAATACTGCTTTCAGATTGGCAAAGGCTGCAACATTTTAAACTAAACAGTTGACAGAAATGCTAGGAAGTCTGATATACTTACAGTTGGAATGTAAATTGGCACAGCTTCTTTGTAGGACAATTCCACACACCATCGAAAATTACATAGACACACTCTCTGACCAGAAATTCTTTTCCTAGGAAATCACCCTACTGATAAACTCATACAAATATCAAGACATATGTATAAGGAAGTTCACCTCAGCACTGTATGTAAAGGCAAACAACTAGAAGTAATTTATCAGTAAAGAGCTAATTGTAATAAATTGCAGAACTACTAAAAACAACACCTAAATTTGTTGAGTAACTCATGATTAAGTACTGTTCTCTTCATGTATTACCTTATTTTATCATGAAAGTCTCCTGAGGTAGACCCAATTGTTACCCTCATTCAGACATACGGAAATCCAGAAACAGACCAGGTAACCTGCCAAAACCACGTTTACTGTGAAAAATGTTCATACACACACACACCCCAACATAAAATGGCCTTCAAAATGTATTTTTAAGTGAAAAGACTAAGGTACAAATGCATGTAATCTCATTTGTGTGAAAGGGGAAAAAAGGTATACACATACACACTGATGCTTGTACAAGTGAAGAAATGCGTAGGAGAAGGACTGATGGGGGCAGAGGGGAAGTGGGGGAAAATGGAAGATAAGAAAAAGGGAAGAAATGTTTGTTTTACAGCCTTCTGTATTCATTTGATTTCTTTATATCACATGAGTATCTTTAAATTGCATGATTTTTTTAAGTAAAATAATAGTTGATACTGATCAAGGTATAGACAGACACTATAAACACCACAGCTAGGAGTATAAAGTGGCACAACATGGCTAATAACTACAGAGCTATCTGGTAATATGTATCAAGTCTTAAAAATATACATAGTCTTAAAATATATATATATATATATACACATATACACACAGTCTTTGACCTAAAAATCATGCTTCTAGAAATGTTTCCAAAGGAAATAATCACACATTATAATGTACGCAATGATGTCTACATAGCATGTTCATCTTAGTATTAGTTATAATAAGTATTCTAAATGATCATCAATAGATGATTTTTTTAAATATTATGGTGTGGCCAGGCGCGGGGGCTCACACCTGTAATCCCAACACTTTGGGAGACCGAGGCAAAGGATCACTTGAGGTCAGGAGTTTGAGACCAGCCTGGCCAACATGATGAAACCCCATCCCTACTAAAAACACACACAAAAAATTAGGTTGGTGTGGTGGCGCATGCTTGTAATCCGTTACTCAGGAGGCCAAGGCAGGAGAATCGCTTGAACCCTGGAGGCAGAGATTGCAGTGAACCAAGATTGCACCACTGCACTCCAGCCTGGGTGACACAGTGAGACTCTGCCTCAAAAATAAATAAATAAACAAACAAACATTATGGAGCAAACAAGCAATGGGAAATGACACACTCATTCAAAATTATGTCGATCTCCATATTTTAATCTGGAAAGATGTATTATTAAATAAGGGAAAGGGAAGTATGTTACAAAATACTATAATAATTAAAATAAGTACAAATATTTAGCATAAGTACATTTAATTACACTTATTTTTGAATATATTCATGTTTATTTTTTAAAGTTCAGAAGGATAAACTCTAAAAAAGATAATAATATCAAGAAAAGAAGCAGTGAGTAATTTAGAACTTCATGAAGAAAACTAACTGCACAGCATTTTTAGGTAAGTCATTTTACACAGGAAAGAATGACATTTAACTTATCAGAAAAGCTGGAGATAAATGTAAACACCGTGGAGATCTGATTCTCATGAAACAATCACAAATAAACTTACCTCTTGCCTAGAAAGCGTCATAGGTAATTTTTCCTCTGCCAGTTCAAGTTCTAACACTGGATTCGATGAAGTTAATGGTTTCTGGTCCTCCTCTTTTGGCTGTATCTATATTAATAGCCAAAAGAAATGAAATTCAGCTTTAAAAATATAGTTGATATATATCATTCTATTACCTTAGCTATTCACCGAAATTAAATATGTTTTCAACACTGAAGATTTTCTAATATTCCTCTGAGCAAAGAGCTCATAATAAACGTGCATGCTTGTAAAAGAGAGTCAAACATATTCACGTCAGGGGCATCACAAGTCCAGAGCATGCACAGAGGAATCAGCATCCTTGCTATAAAAGAGTGACACGACTCACGCCTGTAATCCCAGCACTTTGGGAGGCCGAAGCGGGTGGATCACGAGGTCAGGAGATCGAGACCATCCTGCCTAACGCAGTGAAACCCCGTCTCTGCTAAAAATACAAAAAAACTAGGCAGGGGTAGTGGCGGGCGCCTGTAGTCCCAGCTACTTGGGAGGCTGAGACAGGAGAATGGCGTGAACCCGGGAGGCTGAGCTTGCAGTGAGCCAAGATCGTGCCACTGCACTCCAGCCTGGGCGATGAGCAGGACTCCATCTCAAAAAAAAAAAAAAAAAAGAGTGAGACGACTGTCATGATTTCCAAAATCCAAATTTAACAGGGCTGAAATTTGCACTTTCTTTCTCCCCAGATTCTAAAGACTGTACTTTTTCCTGAAAAACAATCAACTTGCTCTTCTTCTTTAAATTGTCTTGCAGGGTTATTTGATTCTTGCTCAGCTTCAAAGTGAAGACAAAAGAAAAGAATTTCTTTCCAACAGCAACCTGTGAAGCTTCAAGCTCTAGCTTTTCCTATCCTGCTTTTCAAAACGTATTATTCTAAGTGTATGAAAATCACTGTTGGACATACAGAAAAATTCCTAATGCTACACAGAGTTGGTCCACAAACTGAGCTACCAACCTTGTAGAAATATAAGGAAAAAAGCACCTCTCTATTAATGCCACCCAGGGAAAGAGTGGGCATTCCTGTTCATATGAACCTGTAGGAAAAACAATCTCTTCACATATTTTCTCAAATTTGTTGCTCAAGTCTCAGTTTAGGAAAACTGAATTCAGCAATTTACAAGCCCCTTTGTGGAGTCTGTAAAAAGATACTGAAATGTGGTTTCCCATCTGACCATAAGATAAATCCACAACGCTGAAAGTGGGAGTAAGATCAAAAGAACATAAAAGAAGATCAACATTAAGGAAGAAACTCACGTTAAGAAAGGCAATATGGTGAAAATTACATAATTCATGATTCTATAGCTTACAGTTCAAGCTTATGTTTACCATAACTAATTGATATTGAGGTAAAATTAAGGTAACAAACTAAGCCTTTCTATTTTCACAGGTCAAATCAGCATCAAGCCTTAAAAAATGCTAACTCACTTCTACAAAAGAATAAAAGTAATCAATACTATGTCATTACTACCAAGACGGAAATCTTTAAAAATCTTTAGAAAGAAACACCTGTGCTTTACTTTTCAAGCATGAAAACGTATTTCTCTAAAAATCTCAAGATTAAAAACACATTTAATTATACAATGGCAGTTAATAGCTCTAGGGAAAAGATCTAAGTCATTTCGTCAGCTGGACTCAAAGTTATAAACAATTATCTTTACAGTAATTATTTTGCTTCAGGGCTTTCCTCTATATAAACAAACAAACAAAAAAAAAGCACACTAAACAAAAGTAAAAACTGCCACTATATTAAGTTACTCTCCTAGCTTATAAAATAGCTGAAAACGTTCAAATTTAGGAATCTGGGAATGCCACAAGCCAGCAGAGTAAACCTATGTAAGTGATTCTTATTCCAGACCAAGTGTGTGTAAGACAACACTGGACAAGGCAAAAATGAGAGTTCTTTTCTGAATATCTATCTACTCAATGGTTATTAACTTAAAACTTATTTTCATTTCCTAATTAAGCAAATAAATACCTTTACGGAAAAAAATCAAAATACAAGTATAAACTTTCCCATATTTTAAAAACATGTCAGAAATATAATTACATTTTAAAATATTTTTTAAGTCACTTCTTGGTATCTTTTGAAAACTACATTTTTCTTTAATACTTGTCTTCTCCCAGCACTACAAAATCAAACCAAATGCATATACATACCATGTGCATTCCTCATGCTTCCTTCTAAAAATGCTATGCAGGATAAATCCATTTCCAGAACTTTCCCCATTACATGCACAAAAGTATTATCTTATATTGATATTTCACAAGCAAAAGGTTAATTACAAGTTTATGATTTGGCAAAAGTATTTCAATAGAACCTCTGAGCTTTGAGTTAAAAATTAAGCTAGATACAGTCTTCTTTTAAAATAATTTAAACATAACTTCTCCACCTTATACCCTTTAACCCCTCCCAATAAAACCACAACACATTATCAACTAATTTCTTCTAAAATATACAAGCAAAGCCTTCCAGACAACTCATTTGTTTCTAAGAAATATTTCAAGATGACACTTTCTATCCAATAGACTAAACAGTGTTTGAAATGTGATACCTTATTACAACAAAGGCATATAAATATATACGGCTTTATACTTTAGGCGGAGGTTCTTAAGACCCGGAAGTAAGTATTAACAATGCAAACATAAAATCGATGGCTTAAAATATTCCGGAGAAGGCAGGGAAATTACCACCACTAATATTACTGTGGTTAGATGAATAAATGTTTTGAACTCTTTCCAAATGGACTGTTTTATTGGGAGAGGTAGGGGAGAGGAGTGGTGGTGGAGCTGAAAATAAGGCAGTCTCAGATTCAGGACTTAATTTAAAAAAAAAAAAAAAAAATTCAAGCTTTGATCTCAAGCCACTTCATGCCATCCACAAAAAGCCAAACCATTCCAAGCCAAAAGTCATGCATGTATTTTCCTGAATTCAAGATTTTTTTAAAAATGCAAAAACAAAAACTCATACCTCTCCAGATGGCTTCTCATTTATAGGCTAACGTATAACATTGATAAATTGAACAGAGATCAATGATTGTCATTTAACAACAGCTGTATAAATTTAAACTCAGAAATATACAATTTAACATAAAAGCAGACATTCATACCTTGTACCCACATCTTTCAAAATATGCTTCCTCTTCTTTTTTGGCGAGCTCACTACGCTTGAAATATTTTTTATTTTCCTATTCGAGAAAAAAAAATTATGTCAATAGTAAATCCTTGGGCAAAAGTTCATGTCCCATAGTCAACAAGTACCTTTAGAAACCTTTTGAAAACACTCTTCAGTTTTTCAAGAATTTGATAAAACGAATATTTTTTGGTTCCAGAGATGAATACATTGATTCCCCAAACACATCACCAACCCTCCACTATGACTAAGGGCACCGATGTGTGATAAGTTCAAGTATTTTTCTTGCAGTATCAATCAGTAGGCAGGTTCATCCGCAAAGAGGAGACCAAGAATATTTTCCAAATGTTTTGATTTCTTAATGTTTGAGTTCAGTGATAATTTCTTCAAATGGATTCATTATGAACCACATAAAATGGTATATCTCAATTATTTTTTCCTAATAGAAACAAAATTATGACATATATAGCCTACATTTGAAATCCCACCTAACAAGGGAATTCCAGTAATGTAAGTTCTTTCTTGTTACCTGGAACCTTATTATATCAGTCAGTTCCTAAAATAATCTAGATATAGGGTGGTCTTGGTGAACCTTTTTATTTAAAAAAATGATTTAAGGATATTTGGGGGTTTTGTGCCTTTTTCTGGTTTTTTGTTTGTTTTGGAGACAGGGTATCTCTCTGTCACGCAGGCTGGAGTCCAGTGGCACAATCAAGGCCACAACTTCAACTCCCTGGGCTCAAATGATCCTCTCACAAGGTATTTGTTTTGATATGATTTGATGTAAAGAGACAAGCTCTAAGTCTTGTCTGTCAGCCCCAAAAAGATGTCAGTCCTTTCCACATTATACACAAAATTATCCTTATTGTTACATCTACAGTCCATAATTTGGAGGCTTGTTGCTATCTCAGCTCTGCCTCTTGGATATTATTCCACTGAAGGCTTTGTTCAAATAAAGATATTGCCCCCTACTGTATTAACAGTAATGATATAATAGTACCTCTGTACTACCTCCACACAAGTATTTAGCACCTCATAGTTCCAAAGCTCATTCACTTAGGCAGTGATCATCAATGGATGCTAAAGCCTTATGAAAAAAGCCGCTGGTGACAATGGAAAGATCAGCCTGCCACCATTTGAACCCAATGTTCAAGCTTGACATCAGTAAGAGATTATGTATCACCTATGTTATACTACAGGAATTACCCAGCCATCGTCTGGGAAGTGTTCTTGTTAAATGTAGGGAACAGAAGAATTAACTAAGTGTCAATATGCCAGGAAGCAATCAGACAAGTCAAAGACATTTTACAAAACTAGCCCCAGTTTCTCCGGCAATTCAATGGCATGGAAAAAATCGGCGAAGTTGAGAAAATGACAATGTTCTTCATTAAAAGAAACCAAGATTCATAATAAGCAAATTCAAGGATCGAACTTCATGTTGACCTGACTTGAAAAACCAACTGTAAATGCAAATGTATGTAGGTATTTTAATTCAATTGGAAAATATATGAATGTGAGAAGAGTATTTGATAAAATTAACAAACTAATTTTAATTTTGTTGGGTGTGATCATATTTTGGTTTTAAAAGAACACATCATTTTCTAGAGCTGCATGTTTCAGGGAAAGGATATGCAGAGGCTCATCATAAAATTTTATCTATTTTTGTGTTATGTTTAAAACTTTCAGGATAAAGTTTTTCTAAAAGTTCATCTGTTAACTCAATAAACATTTCCAGACTTATCTACCACACAACAAGCACAGCTTTACCGAAATAAAGATGAAGATATTATCTGGGGTAAGGAACCGATGGTATCATCTGAACATCAAAACTACCCTGAGTACGGTGGGGGCAAATAGTATTAACCCCTTTTTAGAGGTGAGAAAGCCGAGAATTAGGTTAGGTGACATTCCCAGAACTCAGCAAGAATGAGTAGTAGCAGCTAGAACTCTGGTCCTTAAACCCTTGCTTCTGATCTAGTCTTCCAAGCTACTGTTCTTCACTCCCAAAATATTATTTTGGCATCTAAAATTGTTTTTGACTAGGTAGTATATAATTGTCATATTTCAAATAAGTTGGCAAACACACATTGGTATCCTTTCAGAAAAGGTTGATATGTAGAAAGAAAGGAAAAAATCTCCAGGCCGGAGGCCATGGTCCAGTCTTTTTGACTATGTTACCTGTGATGACCATGTCTCAATTCCATTGAACACACCTAACAAAATCTCAAGCCTAGAACATCTCAAAATGTGGTCCACAGAGGCTCTTTCAGAGGTTTTGCAAGGTCAAATTTATTTTCATGATATACTAAGACATTATGTGCCCCTTTTTCATTGCGCTCAGATTTGCACTGACAGTCCAAAAGCAACATAGGGGGAGGATTTGGGAAGGCGGACTACTGGCATCAGCATAAATAAAGGCAATGCCTTCAACCTGTACCAGTAGTCACTGTATTCTTCACCAACATGCACTTGCAAGAAAATAAAGTCTAGTTTCTCTTAAGAACGTCCTTGACAAAGTGTAATTTTCCTAAATCTCAACCTTTGAGTACACAGCCTTTTAATAATCAGCATGAAAAAATAAAATGTATAAAGCACTTCTGTTACTTACTAAAGTAGAATGGTTTTCTCAAAGAAAAGCACTTGTGCAATCGTTTGATTAGTCAGATTTGGGTGTTTGGTAGACATTTTCTCAGAATTGAACAAAACAAGCTTAAAGTTAAAAGAAAACAATGATGGAATTTACCACCAATGATAAAATTCCAGGTGTCAACTGAGAACTGGAAAAGTGGAAAACTTGTACCCAGCACCATGAGCTATTTAATAGCTTCCCAATACTTGAAGCCTTTTCCAATGAAATCAGTGGTGATATTAATAAATGTGATTTTTAAATATTATCTAATGAAAATGTCAACATGAAGAAGATCCGCATAACTCACTGAACCATGACATTACAAAATTAAGATGTTACAAAATCACATGTAGGTAAAAAGATCCAATCGAAGAGCAAAATAGATCAGCAGGCTTTAATGGATGAAAAATTCATTGAAATGATTTCAGAATCCACATTGTAACTGCCCTTTATGAAACCACTTGTGTAGTTTTGGTGTAGTATCAAGAAGAATATCCACAAATCTGAAAAGGCTATTAAAATACTCCTTTTCCCAACTACTTATCTGTGGATGAATTTTCTTCATGTACTTGAACAAAAACAACATACAGCAACAGATTGGAGGGAGAAATAGAATCCAACTGTCTAATATGCCAGAGATTTCTAAAACAATGTCACTTTTCTCACTAAAGTGTTTGTTTTTGCAAATATCGTCTTGTCATAAAAATATTTGTTAGCATACTATGGGTTTATTGCATTTCTACATGGAACATACATTTTTTAATTTCCTGGCTTTAATTTCTAATATAGTAATTATCAATAAATGTATCCTATGTAAATAAAAGCTCTCTGGGGCTATCAATAATTGAGAATGAGACCTGAGACCAGTAAGTTTAAGTCCACTTGGCATTCTCCACGCCTACAGCATGCTCAAAACAATGCTAGCAAAAACCACTTGGGCCTCAACATTGCCTATTGGTCCTAGGGTATTCATCCATTTCATTTTCTTTCCTATTGTCTACACTGACCATTCCACTGTCTCCATTCTCATGAACTTCCCATCCTTTCATTCTCCCCTCATTTTCAGCGGATGACTAAACCATCTCACTTTACGGAAGTGACCAGTCAGGAACTCCTCCAAATTCCTCCCAACTCCAGTCCTGACCTGGATCTGCTTTGGTCCTTTCATTTCACAAAGGAACAGAAAACCCTCCTTTGTCTAGGGCAAATCCCTTCCCAATTACTCCAGACCTCAGTTCCTCAGGGACTTCTCATCATCAATGCTGTTTTCTCCTTCACATATTCATCCTTCCCCTCTCTACTGGCTCTTGACAATTATCATATAAGTATGCTCAAGACTCTGCCCTGGGTATCATTTACAGCAGAACCACATTAAACTGTTTAATCCGCGTCCACTTCCTTACCTCTATTTCTCTTTGCAGCCCCACAGCATATGGCCATCCAGTCTGTTTCACTGAAAAAATCTCCCTGGGATCATAAATAATGTCTAAGGTACAAATCCAAAGGGACTTCTCTGACTGATCTCATTCAGTCTTCAATTTAACTGCTCATTCCTTCCTTCTTCAGTAACTGTCTTCTCTTAGCTGACAGATTCTTCTTATGTCTTCCTCACTTACTGGTTTGCTCAGATTTTCTATTTCTTGTATTTTTTTGTACTTTTTAGCCATTTACTTCACTTAGATTTTCCAATATATTAGAACTAGTATACAGTTCTCCTTACTAATTTTACTTTCCAATGTCTCCCATATTGGCTCCTGCCATTCCTTCTGTTGGTCCTTCATTTCAGAATATTTTGTATAATGTGGGTTAGGGGTTATTGCTTATTTTTTCCGTATAGATATCCAGTTGTTCAGCATCATTTACGGAAAATATCTTTCCTTCCATTTGGTTTTGGTGTCTTTGTCAAAACTCAAACAATTGTGTAAGGGTGGCTCCATTCTGGGTGCTCTGTTATATTCTAGTGATGTAATTGTTGGTCTTTATGCCAGCACTATGCTGTTTTGATTATTGTAGCATTATTATTGCAGCACACTGTAGTATCTTGCATATAGGAAAGATGCAGTAAATACTGGAAGGAAAAAAAAGCTAAAATTCTACACATAGCTCATTCTAATAACTACAACTAGTAAAACTACTAATTACTCCCCATTAAGTTTCTAAAGCAGCCTGGTTTTCCACGAGGTTTTTGCATTAAATGAAGACTCACCAATTCTAGGCTCCAAAACACTGGTGTTCTAGCAATGCAGATACCACAATTACCTCAGGGTGGTTATACCAGGCAGGGCATTTTAGGACAGGTGGTAAGAGGATATCTCAGTCACTTCTCTGCAGTTTGACAAAGAGGCACTCACAAGCTAAGTACTGATTGTTTCAACTACCACGGATTAACCACAAAAAGCTGCGACACCACTTGAAATGACCAAAGATGAGGTGTCTCTTCTTTCTGGAAGAACAATACCACACAGACAACTGTTTTCCAGCTGCAGATGCGGTAATGACAACAATCTACTGATCCCCGACCAGTGTTTTCTAAAAAATTAAAACAAAGGGACTTGTTCTTTCCCATCTTGCAAGATGGTGGGTGAAAAAGTTGAGAAGCCAGATACTAAAGAGAAGAAACCCGAAGCCAAGAAGACTGAGGCTGGTGGCAAGGTGAAAAACGGTCACCTCAAAGCTAAGAAGCCCAAGAAGGGGAAACCCCATTGCAGCGCAATCCTGTCCTTGTCAGAGGAATTGGCAGGTATTCCCCATCTGCTATGTATTCCAGAAAGGCCGGGTATAAGAGGAAGTACTCAGCCGCTAAGCCTAAGGTTGAAAAGAAAAAGAAGGTTCTTGCAACTGTTACAAAACAGGTTGGTGGTGACAAGAATGGTAGTATCCAGGTGGTTAAACTTCATAAAATGCCTAGATATTTTCCTACTGAATATGTGCCTCAAAAGTTGTTGAGCCACGGCAAAAAAAAAAAAAAACAAAACAAAACAAAAAAAAATCCCTCAGTTGACAAGTGAGAAAACTGAGAGCCAGCATTACCACCAGGACCATTCTGACCATCCTCACTGGATTCCACAGAGGCAAGAGGGTGGTTTTCCTGAAGCAGCTGGCTAGTGGCTTGTTCCTAGTGACTGAACCTCTGGTCCTCAATCGAGTTCCTCTACCAAGAAAACACCAGAAATTTGTCATTGCCACCTCAACCAAAATTGTGATCAGCAATGTAAAAATCCCAAAACATCCCACTGACGCTTATTCAAGCAGCAGCAACTGCAGAAGCCCAGACACAAGGAAGCTGAGATCTTCAGTACAGAAAAAGAGAAATATGAGATTGATCAGAAAGCTGTGGACTCACAAATTTTACCAAAAATCAAAGCTATTCCTCAGCTCCAGGGCCACCTGCGATCTGTGTTTGCCCTGACTCATGGAATTTATCCCCACAAATTGGTGTTCTACATTTCTTAAGAAGAACCTAATTAAATAACTGATTTAAAAAAGGAGGACTGAATAAAACATGATAAAATCATTTGCGGTTGTGGTAAGATTTCATAAAACTTTTTTCACATACGTATCAGATCAATATATACAAATGCATTACCATGAACGCGGCAGTGAAAAAGTCTGAAAGTTACTGACATGCACTATGATGTAGAAAGATAAAAGATATGAAGCAACTATTCTGCATGAAATGATAGAGCTGCAGATCTAAAGACTGTCTTCCCATGGACACAATAGAAAAGATGCCTAGTTGTGTGTGTTCCCTTACATCATGCAAGAGTACTCACCCTCAAGTTGGTCTAAGACTTGAGATCTATCCTGGCAGGCCAAAGGAGTATGAGAAGATCATGTAACCCTATAAGTCTCAATTTCATCATCCATGAAAACAGCAATGCCTTGTGCACTAATTAACAGTTGTGAAGCTCAAATCAGATAGCATATAGCACTTTGAAAAATATAAATCACATGTTAATCTAATAATTTTCCACTGCTTTCTTACATTAGCCCTATCAAAACTAGTTCTATGTTTGTAAGGTGAATAAATATCCATTCTATTTGTACAGGATAACAGAGCAGGCTTTGAAGTAGGAACAGACCAGGGTTCAAATCCAGGCTCTATCTCTTGCTAGCTGCATAATCTCATAGTCATGTAACTTCTCTTAGCTTCGTTTCCTCATCTGTAAATGGGAATAATGGTAACTTGTTGTACAAGTTAAATTAGAAAACATTCGTTGCATGATGCCTAACATTACTGTTAATAGAAACTACGAATGTCAGTTTTTCGTGTTTTTTTTTTTTCTTTGAGACACAGTCTCGCTCTGTCGCCCAGGCTGCAGTGCAGTGGCACAGTATCAGCTCACTGCAAGCTCTGCCTCCCGGGTTCACGCCATTCTCCTGCCTCAGCCTCCCGAGTAGGTGGGACCACAGACACCCACCACCATGCCCAGCTAATTTTTTTTTTTTTTTTTTTTTTTTTTTGTAGAGACAGGGTTTCACCGTGTTAGCCAGGATGGTCTCGATCTTGTGATCCACCCATCTCAGCCTCCCAAAGTGCTGGGATTACAGGTGTGAGCCACCGCACCCGGCTGAATGTCAGTATTTTAATTCCTATTTCATGTACGCCCTTTGTTGGTCTGAACTGCTCTGTGCTTGGAAAAATCAATCTTATCTTCTGGCTGGAATTATGTGATAATTCAACCAACTACCAAATTAAAAAATGAAACACACCCAGGAAAAGTTTATATAAATTATAAATGACCCTGAAGAATATAAAGATTTTTTTTTAAATGATCATTTTTACAGATTGGTCCACTTCAATGACGAAGAACATGATTATGCAAATATTCATGTTGTGAACCCTGAGGGTGGGCTGAATATTTTGTGATTCACTTTTCCCTTTAAAGCACTTAGATTTCAACACCCTGGCCCTTCCTAACATCAACTGTGCATTCCAATACCTAAAATACTCCCAACCACTAAGCAAAAGGTCCCTAAAGTAGACATAAAAACATTAATGTACAAATACGAACAAGCTTTTCCCCATACCTACCAAACAGCATTCTATTACCTCCACCTTTCTAATTGTTTTTAAAGTTTCAATGATCGTGAAATTTGCCATCTACCAAGCTAAGAACTTTAACTTACTTACACTACATCATATACATCAATTGTACACAACGTCCAAATATCTAAGTCAGATGTTCTGTGATGCACAGATTTCTATGGGTCCTGAAGACCCTCTGAGAGGACTCATGAAGTCAAAACTGTTTTCTATAGCAAGGCATTATCTGCCTGCTCGCTCGGATCTGCACTGTAGGTGAAAAGCAATGGTAAATTTGCTAAAGCCTTAGCAAGAATCAAGGTAGTGGCTTTAAATCGCCACTGCTACACCATAAAGTAAGGGAGATCATCTTCAGGAAGTTCCTAAATCATGTAATTCTTTCTCCCCCTTTTTAGTACCTTTTCAAAAGAGTCTTAGCATTCCCATCAGTGAAGAGCAGGCCTACAGACTTTTCATGTGTTGAAGAAGAGGAAAGAAGAAGGAATAGAATTTAAAAATTGGATTTACTATTAGAAAGGAACTTCTATTACTTACGTAATTTTTTTTTTTTTTTTTTTTTTTTTTTTTTTTTTTTTTTTAGAGACAGGGACTCGCTCTCTCACCCAGGCTGGAGTGCAGTGGCACGATGATAGCTTACTGCAGCCTGAACTCTTGGGCTCAAGCGATCCTCCCGACTTGGTCTCCCAAGTAGCTGGGACTAGACGCGCACACCACCACACCTGGCTAGAAGGAATGTTTTTTTTTTCTCTTCGTTTGTTTTTTGTTTTTTTGTTTTTTTTTTTTTGAGACGGTGTCTCACTCTGTCGCCCAGGCAGGAGTGCTGTAGTGCAATGTCGGCTCACTGCAACCTCCGCCTCCCAGGTTCAAGTGATTCTCCTGTCTCAGCCTCCTGAGTAGCTGGGATTACAGGCGTGCACCACCACGCCCAGTTAAGTTTTGAATTTTTAGTAGAGACGGGGTTTCACCATGTTTGCCAGGCTGGTTTCGAACTCCTGACCTCAGGTGGTCTGCCCACCTCAGCTTCCCAAAGTGCTGGGATTTCAGCGTTCCATGCTTCAATTGGGCACAAACCCTACGTAAGGCGACAGAAGGGAACTCTCAGAACTGAGGCACGTCCGAAGAATGCTGACAGGTGGGAGTGGGGATAGGGGGCAATTAGGTAAACTGGAGGGGAACAGGGTCAGTCGGGGGCAAATAGCCAAAGCCTCAGGTTTTCCTGCAGTTCCCACACTTGCATCCCTAAGGCTCCCGAGTAGTTACCGGAAGGAAGGCTGTGAGTGTATGTTGTCCTGGTCCTTGGCGTTTTGAACAAAGAATTAGACAAAACGCACAAAGAAAGTAACAAAACACAGGAATGAAGCAGCAAAAGCAGGGACTTATTAACGCGAGATAGCACTCCATAGGGTGCGAGTGGGCCCGAGCAAGCGGCTCGAGGCCCCGGTTACAAAGTTTTCTGGGTTTTAGGTACTCCTTCTGAGGTCCCTACCAGTTACCCCTTATCCGGATGAAGGGTTTGGTCCTGTGGCTAAAGACAGGTGAATTGGCGCCCTATGATGAAGGGAAGGCCCGTGTTTGGCCCGCGGCTAATGCAGGGCACGTTCCGTTCCCATCTGAGAGGCGGTGGGAAGGGAAGGATGCGGGGAGAGCAGCAGCCTGGAGCTTCTGCTACTCGGTGGTGGGAAGATGAGGATTTTCCTCTTGGTTTGGCTTTTGGACGTGGGCGTTAATTGGCCTCAGGTTCCCGCCCCCAGACCCAGGTGTTTTCCTTTTGATCCAGCTTTAGGAAGTCAGAACGAATGGGACTCAAGTTCCCTGGCCCCAGACTCTATTCTCCAGCCTCAGAGTGAGACGCCAAGGGTTGGATCTAAAGGGGGCCTCCCAAGGATAGTGGCAGGACACTCGCTAAGCCCCTTCCCCGCCCCGAATCCTCTGAGTATCGTCACCCTCACCCCAAAACCCCGACACACACACACTCACTCTCCCATCCCGACCCCCACGACCACAGGGTCCTCACCACCAGCAGGTTCCTGTCCTCCACCAGCTGCCGCTTCCGAAGGATCTCTGATTTCAGAATGTCCATCTCACCGCCAGAATTTAAGCTCCAGTTTCCCGCTCCAGCTCCTCGAACCCAGCCTCACTCGGCCGGCGGCCGCGAACCCACTGAGTATACAGTACAACAAGCCCAAACACCTGAAGACAACAACTGACAGGGCCGCTTCCGGCGGAAGTTGGGATGAGCGAGAGGAGGGAAGAGAGCGCCCCGGGGCGCCTGTGGTGGCCAAAGCAGCTGTGTGTGAGTGTCCCCTGGCGGCGCCCTCCGGCAGGGCGCCTGTAGTTTGCCCTCGTAGAGAGGTTTACGTGAACGTGGACTGAAACCCGGGTCTTAATAGTACCCTCTGCACCTGCTAGTTCCGTTCCAAAAGCCTTCTCGAAGAACACCTCAATAATGCCAGTTAAATCAAGATCTTTATTAAGTGGAAATTTACATTAGGGTTTCTGAAGTTACTTGCTTGCAAAATTAGTGTACTAAAGGATAAGAAAAATCTAAATAATAATACTAACTTGTAACAATAGAGTCAAAGAGCAGTGTCCATTACTACCCTGTTAAATTTCCTGTGAACTTAAACGACTACATCCATTTAAGGCAGTTTGGAAGTCAATTTATCTCCACTCCCTCTGTTTTAGATTGCTTACCAATCTTGGTGATAATTGAGCATTTACCTCAAGCTGACTAATCACTTTTTTGGTCACGTGTTCAGCAATCAAGATTTTTCAGTGACATGATTGGAGAGGTAATCAGAAATTCCTTTTTTTTTTTTTTAAGTCCAACCCAAGGGAAAAAAAGTTAAATTGAAGAGGAAAATTATGTCAGAGATTTTTTAAGTCCCTAAAATTTGTTTACAGTGGACTTATTTTTTGTTTCATGTCATTGAAGCACGTTTAAAAATTGTTTTTGTTAAATCATAATTGAACAATATTTGACGTTTTGTTTTTCTTACTCAAAAAAGGTAAGAAATATCATTCTGTTCGGTCAACTGATAAGGGGTAAAATGCTTTACAAAACAAAAAAAATGAACAATTGAATTGTTCTTTCAATTTAGAAAGTCTTACGGGGCGGCGGGGGTGGGGGGGTGTCGGTGATACTTCATCTAAAAGATATCTGAGGCCGAATGTGGTGGCTCACCCCTATAATCCCAGCACTTTGGGAGGCCGAGGTGGGCAGATCACCTGAGGTCAGGAGTTTGAGACCAGCCTGGCAAACATGGTGAAACCCCGTCTCTACTAAAAATACAAAAATTAGCCAGGTGTGGTGGCAGGTGCCTGAAGTCCCAGCTACTCAGGAGGCTGAGGCAGGAGAATTGCTTGAACCCGGGAAGTGGAAGTTGCAGTGCGTGGGGATCGTGCCACTGCAGTCCAGCCTGGGTAACAGAGCAAGACCCCGTCTCAAAAACAAAACAAAATAAAATAAAATATACCTGACTTTTGCCAGAAATAAGCCAACATAGGAAAATGTCCTTGAACTAAATATGGCAACACTCCTGTATGAATATGGGTTTCCCAGGTCACTAATTCAATGAGCAAATAATAATTTATTAGCATTTTCCTGATTTAGGGATTAGGGATTCTTAGACACAAAAAAAACCTAAAGGGTTAGGACAGATGACAGTAACAGCAATGGAGGTTTACAAAGAACACGATGGCTGGCCAGCTGGGAAACTATCAGTGCAAACCAGAGAAGGTACCAGCTACAGTTAACAGCCTCCTCTTACATTTTAGACTTTCGTTGATTTCTATGTTTATGTAAACATCTGCACTCAATCCTGATTAAGGCCTGAGATCAAAGAGTGGTAGAGAGAAATACTTGAACAAGCAACTGACAAGCAAGCTTTTCAATTCAAAAGGGAGGGGAAAAGATATCCAGGAGCATTTAGAAATACTTAAAAGAGGCCGGGCGCAGTGGCTCACGCCTGCAATCCGAGCACTTTGGGAGGCCAAGGCGGGCAGATCACGAGATCAGCAGATCAAAACCATCCTAGCCACCATGGTGAAACCCTGTCACTACCACAAAAATTAGCCGGGTGTGTTGGCATGTGCCTGTAGTCCCAGCTACTCAGGAGGCTGAGACAGGAAAATCGCTTGAACCTGGGAGGCAGAGGTTGCAGTGAGCCAAGATCGTGCCACTGCACTCC